TTGATGATTGTGGTCCTGTATGGCATTGGATTATTAAGCTTCTACATGGAGAGTTGGTAGTAGTGTTGTTACAAAGGCGACTCTGCCAAGGTTATATAGATCCCGGAGAGTTAAACATTCGAGGTCGAATGTTTCTAAGGGGGGAAGGATGTTACATCTCGCGTTTTCATATGCTAAAAGTTTCATCTTCAATTCATTTAAGTAGACTCGGGGATGAGATTATGTTGAGGTTAATGTATTTACGCTATTTATAACAAGCGAGATATAAGTGTCATTAAGGATAAAGGGTACACGAATTAAAGAAAACAAGTTACGTTAAAAGTGGCCCATTTGGGATAAAATACGGGTCGAGAAATAATACCTGATAATTATGGACTAGTACCATACAAGGTACCATATGGCCGTGATTATATGATGTATAAAGTATATTAAAAATGAGTAGTATTTTTAGATAATTTGAGATAATTTTTAATTATACGGGTAATTGATTAATTACCGGGTAACGGGACATTACCTAGTTAACTAATAAGTGGATAAAAATTTATAAATTACATACCCAAAATATGGCAAGAAGCCACAAATCTAGAAATAACTAAGTAGTCATATAGTCCTAGGTGGCTATCTAGGAATTTTTGGAATTGAATAAGAAAAATGGTCTTGTTCCATTCATTTTGGACAAAAACATAACCAAAATGTGAAAAATCCTAAACAGGAGACATACTCCTCCATTTTTTTAGTTCAAAGGCTTCAAGGATCAAAAGCCTAACTCATTCAAAATACTTCAAAGAAACAGAAGCTTCATTTCGTTCAAAATACTTCAACAAAACAGAAGCTTCTTTCCGTTCAAAATACTTCAAGGAACAGAAGTGTAATTCCATCAAAATTTTGCAGCTACAAAAGAGTACGGTGCAATCTTCGCCAAGAATATTATACGGAGTTTTTCCTACTCCAATTATGTTAAGGTCGTTCCTTCTTTCTTTTGGCATGGTCCAAGCTATATAGAGAAAACGAGCAAACGCAAAGTTTTCATAAACGACTCTATTCATAGAAATACTAGGGGTCTCTGTGTTCTTGATTCCCCATGTGATATATTATTATATCTTCTGTTCATGGGTCTCAAAATGATAGGCAGTTGATAAAGTTTATCCGAAAAGAATATTGAGATTTTTAACATATTCTCATGCATTTTATTCATTTATGCATGTACATTGACCCATGACCAGATGGCGTTATATACGCGTATTTACATATATTTATATATGTATAAGGGATATGGGAAAAAGGTTACGGCATTATATACGCACCACCACCTGATCAATTGGTATATGTTGATGATGTTGCCCACAGTGGCCAAGATGATAAGATGGGATGCCCTCAGTGGCTTGATGATATTATGTACATCCATACCTATGCATGACACGACATTTATACGCACGTGCATGACATTATAAATGTGTCAGAATTTACAAAATTATTCAGATTTATATATGAATTTCTTTATTTCATGTTTCATCTATGTCTTTTACGTACTGATTTTCATGTCTTATACTCAGTATATTTTTCATACTGACGCCCTATTTCACGGGGCCTGCGTTTCATGCCCGCAGGTGCAGGTAAGCAAGCTGACGGTCCCCTTTCTTAGGATCCCTGATCAGCGAGAGTTGGCGTGCTCCATTTGATCCGGAGCTGCTTTTGATTTTTGTACGATATGTTTGTGTGTGTGTGTGTGTGTGTGTGTGTATATATATATATATATATATATATATATATAGGTATGACGTGGCTCAGTCCCGTCTTTGTACAGTTATGTTTATATTAGAGTTCTGTAGACAGTATATCTAGTTGGATAGTACGTGGCCTTGCCGACTTCCAGTTTTGAGATACATAGTTGTCTATAGTAGCCTTGTCGGCTCGCCCTATGTATGTTGCACATATATGTACATATGCCTTTTGGGCAGGTTTCCTTCATGTATATTATTCTCGTAATTCAGCAGATGTTATTCAGGTTCATATCTTAGACGCATGCTTAGGGGTGGTTGACAAGCAGGACTCAGGCACCCGTCGCGGCCCATCGGTTTGGGTCGTGACAGGGGGTGCAGGCTAACATGAATTTTTGTTCTCAGTTTCGTTTGAAGCATTATTCTGAGGATTCTTAGGTTGTAACACTAATTTTCTTTCTATCAAGTATTCTACCTCTTCTTCCTCCTGTTGTGTCTGAGCCTACACTCGAGCTATCTGACTTGATTCCTGAGTGTGGTTCAATTCATGTTAAGGTATTACTGTTACAGTGGTGATCATCTGAATTTTTTGTTAATCTATTACCATTTGTGTTGTTTGTGCTTGATGGTTCATGTTTTGCTGAAATACTGCTGCAGGTGCTTGAGATGTCTGTGAAGAAGCATGGAACACAAGTAATCCCATCATTGGTGCTAGATTTGAAGCATTCCATTGGTACTGGTTCACAGGGTTCATTATTGGAGTGTACATTGGAAGGTGGTTGTGATAGAGGTGTGATTGATTTACAGCTGCTAGCCATGGGTTCACGGTCAGTATGTCCTCTGCCATTAGTTTCTCCTTATCCTGGATAGCTCGGCATTATGGAGAAGAGAAGCAGAGGCGGAGCTAGGATTTGAAGTTTGTGGGTTCTAAATTTGATGCCGAACCCATAGCATGTCTTAGTTACTGAGTTCACAATTATATACTAATACAGATTTAACAAATTTGCTAATAGAAATACAAGATCTATGAAAAGGCTACTGGGTTCGGCCGAACTCATAAACAATATCCTACCTCCGCCCTTGAGAGAAGTGGAAGAAGGTGCTGTATTTGGAAGATTAGAGTGTCTAAGTAGTACTTGTGATGTCTTGGGGACTTTGCTCATAAACGTTGGCTCACTTATAGCTACAGCCATTGTGAATATGTTTGTGTCTGTGTATGTATCTGTGTGCTTTCATTGAGATTGTTATCAGATGCATTAGAAGCATCCTTGCAGTAACCATGCTTGTTATCTCTACTTCATGTGATTCAACTTGAACATTAAATGCAAGTATGGAGTTTTCTTGTTTACTGAATGAATATCTCTATTGCATTTGTTAATGCATATAGTGATGATTGTGTGAGTGGCTGAACAGTTGAGTCAATGTCTAAAGTAACAGAGACTTCGTGTTGGTTAGCTAATAGAACGTTTGTTCTTTGTTAAATGAATCTGGTTAGGTTCAATATTATTGGTTGGCTTATTTGTGTTATCTGAGAATATAGAGGTATTAGTCGGAGTAATGGAGATCTTTTTGGTTCACATGTAGACGTATTAAAGCTGAAGCCTGAAAGTCTCTTTAGTAATTAGTGTAGTTGGTAACTTTTTGCCATTAATTTTGTTAATAACTTTGGTACTTGCTGCAGTCTTCTCATTCGTCTTTACAGTCTTACCCATACCTTTCTTAGCTTGAGTAGGTAACTTGCTTCATGATTATTTTCTTGCTTCTTGGATAAGAGACTAATGTCCACTCATGTTCTTTAATGCAATTAGTGGTACTTGGCCACATTATTGCGTGCAGTAGGATCGGTAGCGTAATTTTGCGAAACTTGCTCTGGCAATTCTTCAGCTTGTCTCGTGACCTCCCGCAGCATGTACACAGTATGTTTAAACCTTCATATGTTATTTTCAGGGATAATACATAATCACCCTCTTGTGGTTGTCGGACTTTACCAGATGCACCCTTATACTTTGCTGGGGTCCTATGACCCCTTGTCTTTATTTAAACTGTAATAAATATCACCTTTTGATCTGATGTGACACCTTCAAAATTTTGCACGCAATTATAGCGCATGAGAACGGAAAAACTGCCCCATATCTGATTATTTTTTTATTTTTTCATTTTTATTTTGCTTTGGCTTTTTCTTTCTTCTTTCTCTTCTTAAATTAAACCTCCACTATGCAATAATACATCAAAGAGGCTAGACCTCCATTCTCCAAATTCCTGACACAGTTAAGCAAGATCATCGATTATTTTGTTTGCTTTATCTCCTTTGTTTAATAAAAGCTAAAATAAATCTTTCAGGCGGAAGAATTTATATGAGAAAATTTAGTTGTTCTAATCGAAAGGTTACATTCAATTTGTGGAGCTTCAAGTTTGGTGTTGAATGGGTGCTTTATTGTGATTCCAAGGTTGTCTTTTACAGGGATTTCTTAATTGAGGGTTTTGAGAGAGATTGGGAGGAGACAAAGAAAGAGCATGTCGCCGGAAAAATATTTATGGCTGAAGCTCAATAAGTTCATTTACTGTTTGCTTTTCCGATAATTAATGGTTCTTTCTTCACTGATTTTATGGTATTTTATAAGGGGTTTGGAGAGATAAAAGGCAGAAAAATGGGTTAGGAAAGAGGAGGGGATCGCGGAGTGAAGCTTTTCCGGTTAGATCTGTTGATTTCCGATAGTTTTTTCTACGGTGCTTCATCGATCGCCTCTCTTTGACGATGGTGGTTTTAATGAAAGATGGGTTGTTTTCCAATGGCTGATTCCCATTATTTTCTTTCTTGGAGATGGTTGGATTTTCTTTCCTTCAATGAGATTTTTGGTTTAGTCATCGAAATCTTCAAGTTTACAGGTGAGAAATAATATTAGTTAGGGAAAAAGAAAAGAAGAAAAGTTAAATAAAAAATCTTTTGATAAAAGAAATGCTATAAAATTTGATAAAATTAATAATAAAAAGACAAAATTACATGGCAAAAGATGGTTGGTGCGTGCATTACACTACTCCTGGAACTGGTACTGATCACAAAAGGTGATATTTCGCAAAGTATAAAGGTGCATCTAGTAAAGTCGGATAACTTCAAGGGTGATTATGTATTATCCCTTATTTTCAGATAGTAATTTTAGATAAATTTCAAAAGACTGTTCATTATGCTTATCCACCGTGGGTGAGCAACGGTTTTTAACTTGAAAAGTGTTAATTATGGAACTTCGACCGATATAGAACTATTTAAGCAAAAACTAATAACAGTAAGCAAAAGTGAATGACTAAAACTACAACAAAAATAAAAAAGAAAACCTTGCCCTATGACAAGATTTTTCTGTACACGGTATAACATTTTTATAAACTGGGTTCGATCTATTCTACTAAAATACAACAGGGGCGCAGGTTCGGCTCAATTTTCTGTTTCCAGAGGGAGGCCTTGTAATAATAAGTGTACATGGTATTTTGTGAGTAACAGGGAAAGATGTGTATGGAAGGATCCTACCTCAATCCCTACCTCCATTCCTCACCCTCAAAGATTCCGGATGGTGAAGGGAAAATGGAAAAACAAAAAAAGAAGTCAATAGACCAAAATTAATATTGGTGTGAATGTCATGCCAGAACAGGGTGCTTAACCAAGTAGAAGAGACGATAATATCTCACCCATAGTTTTTGCATCACCGTCATTCTCAATTTGGGCACCAGACTCGAGTATAGCTGCATCCAATGTTAGTTTTCTCTTTGCAATTTCATATACATTCTCATCAACAGTATTCCTTGTAACCAGCCTTCATGAAAAAGGCAAAAGGGAAATGTGTAAACTACAGGAATTTCAATGTAGAAGCGAAAGAGAGAAAAAATCAAGAGGGAGTTAACACCTGTATACTGTAACTGGTTTGTTTTGGCCTATCCGGTGGCAGCGATCTTCAGCTTGCCGATCTATCTGTGGATTAAAATCCATGTCATGTATGATAACAGTATCAGCTCCTGTCAAGTTTAAACCCTGTCCTCCTGCCCTTGTGGAGAGCAAGCATGCGAATATGGAAGTGTCCTTATTGAAGGTGTCAACAATTGTCTGTCTCTCTGATACCTGAGTGCTGAAATAATGAATGAAATCAAGACACCATGTTAGGAAGATATGGTCAAAATTCCTCCGCCAACCCCAAATTACCAACACCTCTCATGACAACAAGTAACTAAGAATGATTACATGAACAGAAGCCAAAATACACTTTGCGATGACATCAAGAGCATGTCAATTGTCAAATTATTAGAAGTGTATTATAGCCTGTTTGGCCAAGCTTCTCAAGTCCCCCTCGACACCACATCATTGTAATCATCATTTTCAGTCATCAATAAAATCATCATCAGCATTCAAAACCCAATTCTCTCTCAAGCTTCCGCAATTGCCCACGACATTGGTTTTCCCGCACGGCACTGACAATCTAGTCTAGCGTGCGGCGAGGACCTCATTGGCGGACAGCAACCGCACTGACATCGGTTGCTTAGCCTTACGTTGCCCTTCCAAAGATCATCAGGAAGGCGTTGCGTAACAGTTCAAAAGCACTTTTTTTTTCCTAATTTGAGGTGTTTGGCCAAGCTTATTTGGGGAAAAAAAGTGCTTTTGGGAAGAAGCAGAAGCAGTTTCAGAGAAGCAGAAAAAAATAGCTTCTTTCCAAAAGCAGAAGCAGTTTTGGTTTTTCTTCTTACCTAAAATACCCTTAACAAAATATAGTATATACCAAAATAACCCTTAAACCTAANCAGAAGCAGAAGCAGTTTTGGCTTTTCTTCTTACCTAAAATACCCTTAACAAAATATAGTATATACCAAAATAACCCTTAAACCTAATACTTAGGATATTAATTTATAAATATTTCTTCTTATTTTTAGGAAAACTTTCTAATATATAGTGACTTTAGGGGTGAATGCTTTTATATTTGTTGAAGGAATTTTAATATATTTAACTTATATTAAAAGAATTAAGTACTTTTTAATTTTATTTTCATATTTTACTTAAATAAAATGAATTTTTTTTAATTATTGCATGTAATAACACAATTTTGATATTATTTATTTACTTATAATATTAATTATTAAGTAAATCTATTAATGTCCTTATTTGTAATTTGACACTTAAAAGCACTTTCTAAAAAGCTTGGCCAAACACAAATTATTTCTCAAAAGTGCTTTTCAGACTGATTAGCTAAACACAAACTGCTTCTCTCCAAAAGTACTTTTTTCAAAAGCACTTTTCAAAAAAACACTTCTCAAAATAAGTTGATTTCTCCAACTTGGCCAAACAGGCTATTAAACTAGAATATAAATGTATGGTGTGCAGACCTTTATAGGAACAAGAATTCTCCATCCTAATTTTTAGAACATTAGAAAACTTCTTTTCTATCATAGAATAGTTGCATGTTATCATATCTCAACCAAAGCAATAAGTTTTTGACATGTCGAATGCTAGAAAATCTATTAAATCACGATCACTTCTATGTAAAACTTGATCAAATGAAAAAAGGAAAAACATTAACATGCTATAGTGAAGATATGATCCATAAACAGTACATTCAAGTGCATCACATTACTTAATCAATGAAAAAGTTACAGAAAAAACTGTGACCATTTTAAGTTCTTTGTTCCTGAAGATAAGCATTTAATGTCATTGAGGATGAGATGGCTGTGAAACACCATACGCTAGAAGATCAGTAGAAAAGCTTGGTAACAAAGATGGATCTGTCAAAGAGAAGTAACACGTTAATACCTTCCATCCAGGCGCCTGTATGTAACTCCAATAACATCTAGGGTCCACTCCAGGATATCAAGCATTGATGTCCACTGGCTAAAAATAAGCACTCGATGACCACGAAGCTTTAATGAAGGGAGAAGTTTGGCTAATTCCTGCCCATTAGAGCACTTGAATTATTTTGAACAAATACAGTAAACTTAAAAGTGACTACATAAAATCAGAAGGCCGTTGAAATTAACCTGGCATTTCGCTGAAACCATAACATGTTCATCTGACAGAACTCCCTTATTGTTATCGCCATAATAAAGTAAAAGCTGCAAGTAACAAAAATACAAATTCAAGTGATCAGCGAGCATAATTAAGGAATAAAGAGCTCATAAGCAGCCTGGCTCGGAAACCAGCTAATGGTAGTTGGAAGAGTTAACTGATACACTTGACTACATATTAGGCCCTAACAGTCCAACTAGAGAAGAGGAAGCACCAAAATTCACCCCTATAAGAGTCTACACAAGGAGGCAAGCAAGGAGATTTAGGAGATTCATTTCTTAAAAAGGTGAAGGGACTTCAAGATGCAGTTGGGAGGCTTCCAAAAAAGGTATAATGTTCTAGCAGTGATGGTCCAAGCAAGGTTCAAGCAGTCCAAGTGAAGACCAGAGGACTTGACCGGGTTTGATCAAGGTTGACCTTTGACTAAGACAATAGTGGACTAAAGTTGGAAGTTACAGGATTGCCCACTTATTGGTCCATGACCGGGTAGTGGTTATTTGGCCATATATCCATTATTTTAGTTACTTGGATTTGGTCTTGTTATATTTTTGGTTGTACCTAATCTCCTAGGCCAAATGCTTAGTCCTACTATAGTTAGTTTTAGGTCAAGAGTTTTCCTCAGATTTTGGATGACATTGAGCATTATGAGGACTAGGTTTGCTACTTGCTTGCTTGTTACTTCATAGGGTTGCTTACAAGTGTATCACTTCAGGAATATTCCTTTTACTCTTTTATCTAAACTTTATGCAAAGGTTAATTGACTTAGTTCAATTAATTGATAATACCCATGGTTTAGGTTTAACTACCATTATTTTTCCTTATATTTCTTTGTTTTCCCTTCTCTTTTAGTTTTTGCTTCCGTTATTTGTCGTTATTTTGGTGTCAAAGTGAAGATTTAGGCTTTGTTCTTACAGAACCTAGATTTAGAGCCCGTTTGGATTTACTTATTTTAAGTGCTTTTAAGCCAAAATCGGTTTTAGGTCATTTTGTAGTGTTTGGATGAAGTAAAAAAGTGCTTTTAAGCACTTGTTTTTAAGCTAAAATGACAAAAATAAGCCAAAAGCCAAAAGTTAGAATTCCTAACTTATGGCTTTTGGCTTAAAAGTCACTTACAACAGGCTCATCCAAATGGGCTCTTAGCTTTATTTTTATCTTCGTGAAAAACTGAAATCTGAAATTTTCTTTTTTTCTACAGTCACTCGACACACTGTAGCAGTCAGTTTATGGTGCTCTGTGTCACGTCCTTAGTCTTTAACTAAGTACACGTGCGGCACTTGACAACTCGCTCACGATCTTGCACAACTTGCTCACGTTCTTGCTATACCAAGTTTACTATACTCAAGATCGCCAAGAGAATGTTAGAACAAAGGAGAATTGCCAAAGGAAGCTTTTGTATTAGAGAGAAGTTGATTATTTTGCTTGTTGAATTACAAATGAATGGCCCCCTTTATATACTAGTCTCCTAGGGACTACTAGGTAAATATTAATTGTTGCATAAGCAATTACTTACAAGTAAGTCATTTCTCTAGAATTCTCTACATAACTAGAATTTTCCAGGGACTTTCATAGTAAATCCATAGGTTTCTAGAGTCTTCTTAAGAAAACCTCTATATTTCGCTAGAACCTTCTCACAAGTGCTACTCTATTTAAGAAAACCTCTATATTTCGCTAGAACCTACTCACAAGTGCTACTCTATTTCATATGGAAGCTTCTACATGGCATTAATATAGTAAAAATAGCACGGTATAGCCAGTTTTCGGACTGGACATTCAAAAATAGCCAGCGTTTACGAAGTCAATGAAAAATAACCACTATTTTGCTGCAACAGAGACCGGTCCAGCATAATATACTGGAGTTCAGTGCACCTGTGTATGAACTCCAGCATATTATGTTGGACCAGTATACTTTGCTGACTTCAGTATAATATACTGGAGACTGGAGCACCGGTGCTCCAAACTCCAGTATATTATACTGGACAATTATATTTGTTGGAACTCCAGTATATTATGATGGAGTTCTAGTATACTTATATTGGAACTCCACCATATTATGCTGGAGTTCCAGCATACTTATCCTGGAACTCCAGTATAATTTGCATGCTTGAACTCCAGTATAATATACTGGCGTATTTTTCTGGTTTTGAACAGTGTTTTCGCTCAGATTTATCTTTACATGAAAAGTGGCTAAATTTCGATAACTTTTGAAACAAGGCTATTTTTGAACGACCAATCGTAAATCTGGCTATTTTTGAATTTCTCTCATTAATATATGCCAAATGCCACCTACGTGGCATGATGATGTGGCGGGTCATGACACTCTCCCCCACCCAATTTTGTGTCGCCCTCGGCACAAAGCATCGACACGTACGCGCGCACCTTGCCTTAGCGTCGTCGGAGATCTTTGTCCATTAGCCATGATGCTCTATGGAGCGGTTCGCCTTCCCATTTCACAAGGTACTGGTCACCTTTCTTCTTACACCGTTTGTACTTTGGACGGCTAGCAATGATGGCCTCGATCCTCCGCCCATCAGATGCCTCTCCTTGCTCTTGGCCTGAATCTCCCCATGACTCAACCAAGTCTAGCAGCTTCTCAAGCATCGAGTCTATGCTTGCACTCCCTATTTGGCTGCCCTCCGTGGTCACAGCCTTACTAGAAAACTTGACCACTCTATTTGGTGCATCGTCTAAGTCCGATAATATGCCATCACTTTGTAACTCACCATTCTTTTCTACTATGTCTGCCCAATTTTCTTGCTGCCACCATGCTCCATTTGCATGGCGCCAAGATAGGCTTTGGAATCCCCTACTTTCGACTTAGATTTCAAGCGCATCCCTCCAATGCAAGCGGTCCCTCCTGTGTCACCCTTGTGTCCCTGAGCAAAATTCTCGATCATTGTTGCAAGCTTCCCCAACTCTAGGCATTCACTTGCCCGATGTGATCCTTCACAGCAGTAGCACCCTCCTTTTGGCACGTACTCGCTACCGTTTTACGGCTCCTTGTCGTTTCTCTTGGACCCCTGTCCGTTATGGGATGGCCCCTTGCCATTACCCTTGTATACCTCGGCTATGTCTTTCCCGTTGTCCTCATCATGATCTCCCTCATCCCTCTCGGCGTTGCCTTCTTTGGACCTGACAGGCTCTATCTTGAAGTCAACAAGTGACTCGGCTACCCCTATGGCCTCGTTCATGTTGGCTACTTGATGTCTTCTTAACTCCTGCTTTGCCTAATTTTGTAACCCATCCATGAAGTAGAAGAGGGAATCTTCCTCGGACAACGGGATTTGCAGCATTAAGGTAGTGAACTCGTGCACATACCCCGAATTGTGGTCGTCTGCCGGAGCTCCCTTAGCTTCCGCCTGCCTCATACACCACATTCATCGGGTAGAATTGCTTCTTCAACCCCTTTTTGAACTGCTCCCACATCTCAATCTTGCATAGCCCTTTCTCAATGTTGGCACACTTCCGACGCCACCCCAGCACGACAGCCTCAGTCAAGTACCTTGAGGCGTTGCGTACCTTCGTCACCCTCCTTGACTACCTCAAAGTACTTGTCCATCCTCCAAAGTAAGTCCGCCACCTCGCGTGTGCCCCGTGCACCGCCATACTGCTTTCGCTTAGGGACCTTCACGTTGATCCCTTCTGCAAGTACCAAGCCCTTGGTAATTCCGACCATGGTTCCCTACAAAACTTCCTTCTAGCAATCTCTTGTATTCTTTCTAACATTCCTTAGTCATAACCTTGCTCTGATACCAAGATGTCAAGTCCTTAGTCTTTAACTAAGTACACGTGCGGTACTTGACAACTCGCTTACGATCTTGCACAACTTGCTCACGTTCTTGCTATGCCAAGTCAGTCGTACTATACTCAAGATCGCCAAGAGAATGTTAGAACAAAGGAGAACTGCCAAAGGAACCGTTTGTACTAGAGAGAAGTTGATTATTTTGCTTGTTGAATTACAAATGAATGGCCCTTTTATATACTAGTTGCCTAGAGGCTAGTATGTAAATATTAATTGTTGCATAAGTCCCTTATTATTTACAAGTAAGTCCTTTCTCTAGAATTCTCTACATAACTAGATCTTCCCGGGACTTTCCTAGCAAATCCATAGGTTTCTAGAGTCTTTCTAGGAAAACCTTTATATTTTGCTAGAACATTCTCACAAGTGCTACTCTATTTCATATGTAAGCTTCTACATGATATTAATATATGTCAAACGGCACCTACGTGGTATGATGATGTGGCGGGTCATGACATCTGGCTAAGAATTTCAGATTGCTTCTTGTTGGGTATCATCGGGTAATGTTCAAAATTGATTGGAGTGGTGTTGAGATCCTTGCTTAATTGGAAGAAAAGTTGTAGTGAATGCTACTCATGGCATCCGATCGGGGATGTTGACTCGACCGCAAAGCCTGTCTGACTTTAATGCCATATGAATCTGACATGAACCCGACCTGGGGTATCAGCTCGATCGGTTGAGCCGTCTCACCATGAACTTGTATGAATCTGACATGAAAATTGCTACAAACATATGCGTCTGTCATACCTATTTCCCTCGACGTCTTGATAATCGAGTAGAGTCACATTTTACTTTAATCCATTCAGATGTTTGGGGTCCTAATCGGATCAATTCTGCCTTGAGATTCCGCTACTTTTGCCAGTTTCATTGATGATTATTCCAGGTGCACTTGAATATTCTTGATGATAAATCGATCTGAGTTGTTTTCTATTTTCCAGACCTTCCACGCTAAAATCGAAATCAATTTAGGGTTTCTATCCGCATATTTCGTAGTGATAATGCCCTAGAGTATTTGTCTTCCCCATTTCAACAGTTTTTGAACTCTCATGGGTTTATTCATCAAACAACTTGTCTGTACACATCCCAACAAAATGGGATAGTTGAAAGGAAAAATAAACATCTTATTGAAACTGCTCATACCCTGCTTATACAATCTCATGTTCCGTTGCATTTTTGGGGGATGCAGTTCTTACATCTTGCTATCTTATTAATCGTATGGCATCTTCAGCTATCCAGAATCAAGCTCCATTC